GAGGATTCCATTGTTGAACCCTCTTTTAACGTATCGAACAAGCAGTTAAGGCTGGTAAGATCGCATGTAAGGTTGGTCATGCGAGGGGTAGAATTTTAGTCTTTGTGGAGTGTTTTTCTTAATAATAATTATTAGCAGTACGGGTCGAATCTATTGCCCAAGAATTTTAAATCGTAATTGTTAAGATTACTTTGCTTCGGTTTCAAAATGCGATATTAAAAAATACCGTGCGTAACTATAAAGTACCTAATTTATGTTGCTAATCTACAAGTGGAAATGTACTCGTTCGTCCTCCCAGGCTCCAACGCTGAACTGTCCGGGGTTCTCATCTGGCGGCCCTTGCACTCCGGGTCTAACGATATTTGTTCACCTGGTGTGTACCTCCACCAACGAATCGGTGCACCGTGCAGCCTTGGGGGTGCTGGCGGAGGTGGCACAGGACCGCGACTCTCTCGATGCCATTGCTTCGGTGCCGGGCATCTCCACCCGCCTTAACGAGCTGGCGGGCTCGCGCAACGAGGCCATTTCCACCTACGCTAGTACGCTCATTCTTCGCCTCACCGCTCCCCCTGCCACTGCACCGTCATCCACCGAAGATGCCCTGACAGGGCACGGTAAAGTGGTAGTGGACAGCCTCACCACCCCGCCACCTCCACCCCTTCCAATGGACACTAGTGGTAGCGCTGGAGGTCGCATATCTCCCGTTGCTGCATCCGCCTGTTTCCCTCCCCAACAGCTCTTTCACCAACACCATGGTCAACCGATGCCTTATGCTGCCCCACCACCGCAGCAGCAGGCGCAGTCAGCCCAACGGTATACCCCAGGGGGATACCACTATTCTGGTGAGGCTGTGGCAGGACCTGGCGGCGGCGGAGGCAGTAGCGGTTCCCTCATGGCTATGGTGGGACCTCCGCCCCCTGCCTCTTCAGTCTACTCTGTTAGTGGGGGCGGTGCATGCCCTATGAGTGTCCAATCATTGCCTCCGCAGCAGCATCCGCACTGCTACCAGCAACAGCGTAATTTCTTCACCTTTTAAAGTCGATTTGTTCAACAGTGATTGCGGTCTTATCCAATCCAGAAGGGTATTTTTAGAAGTCTTCATCCTAGTTTATGCTCTGGTAGAATATTTGACTTGTCGATCTGGAAGCTTTGAGCACAAGTAAGGAAAGAATTCTTACCTCCCTTGGTAGCGTCTTTTTATCTGACTCACTTGATGACTCCCCGTCGTGTCTGTTGTTGATCAACGATCGCCTTTCTCGTGGTTCCCACCCCTTCTTTCTTCTTCCAAGTCGAAGTGAACCCAACTATAAAGATTATCTTTAATTTTTATTTCCACTCAAACAATTTTACAAGTCTTAATTTAACCTTAAATGAAAACTTCCCTTCATACACAGCTGGTTATTAGTTGGCCATTGGTGTTTGTTGGAGTGTTCCATAAAATAAGTCTTCGTGTTTAACTGATTTGGTTTATAGGAGAGTTGTTTCTATTACGTTAAATCTCGTATGCTCTTCAGCTGCGCCAACGTCAATGTGGCACTCAGTGTGCTTTGCTGCGTCTATCTGCGAGATTCATTTTGACGATACTCAAACTCCTTACTCCAGGGAGTGTTTCGGAGAACTAAGCTCACTTGAATTTTTTGCTTGCTCCGTTACAGACACCGTCACCAAAAGAGCATGCATTGAGACATTTTATTTGTCAAAGTTCAGATGAACTGCAGAGACGTGACCCACCCGACGCGTAATACTGTGTGTAAACACTGAGTTAGGATAGCATGGCAGAATGGGTGCTCTCATTGTCGCTGTAAATATGATGATGGTGTACCCGGATACTTTAGGCTATTCTATTCAAAAGCTTAATCTCACGAGCTTCACTTTGATTATCCTACTGATCTAAATTGTCTGCCTCTGTGAAATGGCGCTCTGTAGTCCATGGATTGTTGCTCTATCAATCGTCAGAAATTTCCCCATACTAAAGTTTCTCAAGAGATACTGTAACCTTTCCTTTGTGCGTAGGTCAACTCGGCAGTATATAATTGGCTGAACAAGCATTTATCGTCCCTCAAGCAGCGCACGATCTGTTCATTAGGTACAACTGGCCATGAAAGTGCAGGGTGTGGCTTAAAAAATGATTTCTTAAGCGTCTAAAAAGCATGGGACTTAAAGTTAACTGTCGGTCAGTGGGATTATCACTTTGTCTTTCAAATATTCCACTGTAATTTTTAAAGAATCGCTCTTCACAGGTTGTTATTGGTGTGAGGGCGATCCGATCAGATGAGAACTGTTGGTGGTAGGTGGACTTCCACCAAGTGAGCTTGACTTTCACAACTAAATGCACCGATCGATGTGCTCCATTGCGAGCATTTTAGCACTGCTTTTTGGCTGCACTTATACGAACCTGTCGACAAGTTGGATGTCCCTCGTGTTACTTTCCCATGGCCGTGACTGAGTGAATTTAAGTGTGCGATCCCGACTAAGTGGCGATTTTCTTACTCGGGAGGCAATCAGCAAGAATGAAGTAATTCAGCGACTGAATCTGCCTCATTTTCTTCAATCCCGCCTACAAAACACGTAAACAGCGGTGTTATCAGATGTTGCTGATGGAGGTGGAGGCAAATGCGCCTCTGCTTTTGCCCAGATGCGCAGCCACACGCAACACTTCGGCTGCCGTCGGCCGTCCAGTTAGGCGGCCTGCGTGCGTGCGTTTGTAGGTGCGCGTTCGTTCTCTCCCACACCGGTAGTCTTGCCACCTTCCGATCTGTTGCTTGCGAAAAATGGGCACACGATTCGCTCGCCTCTTTTTCTCCATAACAAGCGCTTCGATGGTTCATCTGAACGCTACAAAAGAGGCGCGCATTTTTTCATTTTTGCCCATATAGTAGTGCTTCCTGAGTGTAGGCATTGCAGCATCCCTTTAAATGGCTTCTGTTCAGCACAATTGGCATGCAATTACTGAGAGGTCGCTATGTTCTTGACTTTCTCTTTGTTCAGATAGTAGTGCATTAGAATGTCTCAACGCCTGCATGTGCACACTACCCTTGTTCCCAGTCTTTTGCCCACTTACAGCTACTATTTACTCATCTACATTTATTTCTTTGTAACTTTAAGCTCAATCACCTCTTTTCAGCCATGAACGAAGCTGCTTACCCACAGCGTTCATGGGGCAAC